GGGGGGACGTGGGAATGGGAGAGAAACGGTGAGGGATAAACACAGATTTTCATTCAGGACCAAATGTGGGGTGGGAAGAAGGGATGGATGAATGGTGGTGGGGGAATTGGAGGGAGGGAGGTTGGAAGGAATTATGAAGGGAAGATGGGGGGGGGGCGGGGGAATGGGAGAGGGAAACGGTGAGTGATGTGAGGGGGAAATGTTGAGGGAAGGTAGAGGAAATGTTGGGGAGGTGGAGGGGGATGTTAAGGAAAGGTGGGTGGTAGAGGGAGGTGGAGGAATGGAAAGAAAGGAAGGGAGGAGAGGAAGTGAATGGGAGGATAACACCAAAGAAATGAGAGCAAACTGGAAAGGCAGAACGTAGAGTAAAAGGTAATGACAAATGTTTTCGTTTTTAAATAGGCTCTGGATTCTTTGGATAAATCAGACATCTCTGAACTTCGTGTGTTTACCAAACCTCCTGAGATGGTTATGACTGTCATGGAGTCTATTTGTATCCTACTTGGAGCAAAGTATGCAAGCATTTGTTTTACATAAGTCTTGTATCTTAGTTGGAATTTACGCTATTAATACTTTACGATTTTGTTACTTAGACCTGACTGGGCGACATCGAAGACAGTGCTTGGTGATTCCAATTTCTTAAAACGTTTGATTGACTTTGATAAGGTTTGAACATTCAACAGTATTTTTTAGTCTAAGTATGTTTATCATAGAAAGTTGTATTATGTTTTATGAATTAATTGTAAAATTCCCATTTAATTTACCTCAGGATAACATATCTGATGCGACCTTGAAGAAACTTAAAAAATACATGGACAACCCGAAATTTGTTCCAGAAATTGTCGAAAAGACATCTAAGGTTGGGACTTGCTTCATGTTGTCATATATTTTACATTGAAATGCTTCGTATTATGGTGATAAGTTAATATTTTATGTGCTCATTACAGGCTTGTAAATCAATGGTCATGTGGGTTCGTGCCTGTGATCTCTATGCCAAAGTATTCAAGACAGTTGAACCGAAAAGACAAAGGTAAGAAATGATTGCTAAAGAATAAGCATGATTATATGGGAGTTTAAAAAATGGAGATTTGTTAATGTAATTTCTCAGATAAAATCATTGTCAGCTAGCTGTCACTAAAGGCTAGTTTCCACTCAGGAAAATTATCCGTAGATTGGAACGGACAAGAAAATTTTTCTTTGTCTTGTGAGCTCTGGGTTGGACCTAATGACTTTAACACAAAGAAAAATTTTCTTGTCCGTTCCAATCCAAGAATAATTTTCCTGAGTGGAAACTAGCCTTAAGACTAGCTGTCACTATCAGGGCCTCATTGATTCGGGGCCTCTATTGATACCAGTCTTGTTACACTGAAGGGGTTACCCTGTTGAAATAGAATTGTATCTATCATCACCTATCTATACGACTATACCCTCAGTTATCCCTATCTAAACCCCGATATATTTTTCTACTTTGTGATAGACTTGCCGCTGCTGAAGCTGAACTGGATACAACCATGGCAACGTTACGTGAAAAACAGGGCAAGTTAGCTGACGTGGAAGCACAGGTTTGTTAAAATAAAACTATAGAAATCTATAGAAATCGTCAATCGTCAACAATAAAACTATAGAAATCGTCTTTCTAATGAACGAGTCACGAACAATGATAATTTTTGTCTCTGATTTGTTTCTGAAAGCCAATCACAAAACATGATCATTTTAGGTAGGTCTTTACCCCAGTAATCATAGCTAATTTAAACTTTTACACAGACTGTCCTAAATAACTCTTACATTTTTTTAAACAGAAAGTCCTTTCAAATATTTTATTGGAGAGGGATAAGAGTTGCTTCATGTTTTGTATTTAGATTGCAGAACTACAAGCTCAGTATGATCACAGCGTGGCGGAGAAGGAGGAATTGACGCGAAATATTGCCCAGACCGCTGCCCGGCTGAAACGTGCCTCCAAGCTAACCACAGCTTTGAGTGACGAACAAGTGAGATGGACAGGGAATGTAGCGGTAAGGAATTGAGTGATGATTTCTTGGATAATATTTTGTAAATAGCGTAGGTAGGACGGTGGTTGACACGGATGGACAGAGAATATAGCGGTAAGGAATTAGTGATGATTTCTTGGATAATATTTTATAAATAGCGTAGGTGAGGACAGTGGTTGACATGGATGGACAGAGAATATAGCGGTAAGGAATTAGTGATGATTTCTTGGACAATATTTTATAAATAGCGTAGGTAGGACGGTGGTTGACACGGATGGACAGAGAATATAGCGGTAAGGAATTAGTGATGATTTATTGGATAATATTTTATAAATAGCGTAGGTGAGGACAGTGGTTGACATGGATGGACAGAGAATATAGCGGTAAGGAATTAGTGATGATTTCTTGGACAATATTTTATAAATAGCGTAGGCAGGACGGTGGTTGACACGGATGGACAGAGAATATAGCGGTAAGGAATTAGTGATGATTTCTTGGACAATATTTTATAAATAGCGTAGGTAGGACGGTGGTTGACACGGATGGACAGAGAATATAGCGGTAAGGAATTAGTGATGATTTCTTGGATAATATTTTATAAATAGCGTAGGTAGGACAGTGGTTGACATGGATGGACAGAAAATATAGCGGTAAGGAATTAGTGATGATTTCTTGGACAATATTTTGTAAATAGCGTAGGCAGGACAGTGGTTGGCACGGATGGCGGCTGACTCTGAAAGGAATTAGAAAGAAAAGGTAGATATGTGCGTGACAATCTTATGTTTGGTTGTTTGGTGGTTTAACGCTGGTTTACACTATCAAAGTTTCTGTGATCACAGTAGGAATTTTGCATATAGCTAAATTCTAAGTTTTGAAGGATTTGTAAATGTTTGAGAAACTGACTCAGTGTTAAGCATCGACTCTTACCAGTTTTCTTACAAATCCTTCAAAACTTAGAATTTACCGATGGAAAATTCCTACTGTGATCACAGAAACTTTGATAGTGTAAACCAGCTACATCATCATTCGCTCACTCTAATAAGTGCAATACACACAAGTAAGTTGACCACAATATGTAGCATACACTATATATATATAAACAGTTTACTGATGCCCACCAAAAGATGGAAGAGAATATTTATATATTTTTAATATTTTATAGGCGTTTGAAGTGGAAATCGGCAATGTTGTTGGTAATGTGTTTATAGCAGCGGCTTGTGTGGCATACACTGGAGCGTTTACAAGTCTTTACAGAGAGGAGGTATGGCGGTATTGATGCATATAGAAACATGCAAGGGCGGATTTTCATTTATTTAAAAGGAGTGGTAGAAAAATTTCTGGTGGGGGTGCAAGCGGCACCACTCGGTGAGCTTCGACAGGGGTTAGGTGTTTGGGTTAAAGCTAGCCTTTCACACAAAATAGGAGGGGTGAAGCGAAATTTTGCTGGGGTTGAACACTTTTTTAGAGGGGTTAGAGAGATTCTAGGGGGTGGGGGGGTTAGGTTACATGAAGTATAGACGTAAACCTCTAATACTGTCTAAGAGTCACAGAACCAAACTTCACAGGACCCCCCCCCCCCCATCAGTAAATCCGCCCATGGAAAAATGTATATTACCTTTTATATCAGACGTCAGTTCAGTGCACATTTAAACAAAAGAAACTCAGTAAAATCTCATTATTTCACCTGCATTTGCTTTGTGTTAGTCTCCAGTACATATTTTAAACGTTTTACAGTTGAGGGCCAAAACCAAGATTAGGAGTAAGATTTAGGTCACTCAGGGTAAGGTTAGGGCCCAGCTAACTGGTGGGGCCTCCGGGGATAAATGCCCCCCCCCCCCAGTATCTATGTTAAAATATGCCTTGAAAGTCTCGTGGGATTGCTTGAAACCCGCCTGTAGTAATGTATATGGCTCTTTTCGTGCGGGGTAAACGTGCGTGAATTGATTAGGTGTATTGAAATTCATGTTACAGAAATTAATCGTTATCTAATAAAACTTTTAGTTGATATCTCAATGGATTGGCAAGTGTACAGAACTTCAAATCCCAGTGTCTGAGAACTTCACGTTGGTGAACGTCTTAGCAGATCCATTTGAAATACGTCAGTGGAATGCTGATGGTTTGCCTCGAGATAATGTAAGTACAGTGGAGAATGGGTGTGGCCTAAAGTGGTTCCAAGTGCTTGATATGTTTTATGTTTCTCCAGGTCTCCATCGATAACGCTATTTTGGTAAAGAATGCAAGACGTTGGCCATTGATGATTGATCCACAAGATCAGGTATGTTTTAAGAGTTTGTTTATATTTCGTTATTTTCCTTTGTCTTTTAATAATGACTTTATTTAAACTGGAGAAAAAAAGACCGATCAGCATATTTACAAGAAATAGCTGGTATTAACTGGTGATGCACCATAACGTATACAGTACCATACCATACCATACCACACCGTACCATACCATACCATACCATACCATGCCATAAAATACCATGCCATCCAATACCATAACATACAGTACCATACCATAACCGTACCATGCCATGCCATACAGAACCATGCCATACCATACCATACCATACCATACCATACCATACCTGCATAGTATACCATAATCATGTACCATTTTATTATTGACCATATCATCTATACCACCATACTATTCAAACCATATCGTGAAATCTATCCTTTCATATCTAACATTTTCAACTGAAAATTGAACATGCAAACAATATGAATTATTGCCAGGCTAATCGTTGGATTCGTAATAAAGAAGCGAAGAACGGACTGAAAGTGATCAAACTGACAGATGGAAATTATCTTCGCACTTTAGAGAATTGTATTCGAATTGGCATACCTGTTTTACTGGAGGAGGTAAACGACAATGAAGAACACACTTTGATTAGACTATATTGACATACTGATTTGTTAATCTTTCCTTAATAAGGTTGAAGAAACATTAGACCCAGCACTGGAACCTGTTCTGCTCAAACAAACATTTGTTCAAGTATGGATCAACTATTTTAGCCTATGGTATTCTATCCTGTTCTATTTTGTTCGTCTTTATTGTCAGATATTAAAAAGTTCTGCTTACTATCGTAGGGTGGACGTTTACTTATAAGACTTGGTGACAGCGACATTGACTATGACAAAAAATTCAGGTAATCTAAATATTGTAGCATTATATGTCTTCCTAAACTTTCCTTGTAGTTGTTGTATTCATCTAATGGCATGCATTCAATTCGTTGCAGGTTTTACATGACAAGTAAAATGGCGAACCCTCACTATTTGCCGGAAGTGTGTATTAAAGTGACCATTATTAACTTCACCGTAACTATATCTGGCTTAGAAGATCAACTCTTGGGGTAAGACAAATGGATTCTCTAGTTCAGTTGGTTAGAGCGCTGCACCGGAATCCCAGGGCCACAGGTTCGATTCCAGAAGGCCTATATAGTTGCATTTTTCGCAGCTGTTCCTGGTTAGGTCTAAATAAACTTAAACTCTTCAACATTGATTCAAATATAGTCGCAACATACGCCCGTACTCTAAAAGCTCACTCCCACTCACACTCAATGAGTGGAGGTTCAATCTGATCTTCTCTTTAGTGTCAATGCTGTTTTTGAATAGGTGGAGGGTGAGTAGCCACCGAGTAAGGTATGACACTAGCCCTCCAGCTATTCAAAAACAGCATTAAAACTAAAGAGAAGCTCAGATTGAACCTCCACTCGTTGAATGTGAGTGTGAGCGAGCTTTTAGAATACGGGCGATAGAGAAATAAATATGCTCTCTTTATTCAGTTTATTGGGGGTGACCGTTAATGTTTATTTTAGAAAGAAAGCTCAGATAACAATTAGTTGTTTAGTTTAAGATGTTTCTGAATTGTCCACTGAGCAACTAGTTAAACTGGCATTTGGCTTTCACAGAGACGTGGTTCGTCTGGAGCGACCTGACTTGGAGGAACAAAGAAACCAACTGATTGTTCGCATTAATTCAGACAAAAATCAGTTGAATGCAATCGAAGATCGTATATTGAAGTTACTGTTTCACTCTGAAGGCAATATCCTGGATGACGAGGTCTTGATTAATACTCTCAATGAATCCAAGGTGAGGAGTGAATCTTTGTAGCTACAATCCTGGACAAAAAGCACGGCTGACAATTACATATTATGAATGCTTTCATCTCAATGTTCCTGTCTCAAATGTCAACATGGCTCGAGTGTTCACCAACATTGTACCAGGAGAGGGGGGATGGATTTTCTGAGGATATTTTAGAGATTGTGCAACACTCTTTGTATTTAATGTGTTTGTCCGAGTGATTTTGTCCATGATTGTAGGCCAGAAACTCTTTCAATAACAATATTATCGCTGAATGTTTTTAGGTAACATCAGGTGTAATATCCACGCGTCTTCTGGAAGCGGAGAAGACAGAGCTAAGTATTTCAACTGCTCGAGAGAAGTACCGTCCCGTGGCAACCAGAGGATCTGTTATGTATTTTGTGGTCGCTAGTTTAGCTGAGGTCGATCCAATGTATCAATATTCACTTAAATATTTCGCCCAGGTTGGTTGAACCGAATGAATGTGTTTATTTTTGTAATGCATACAGCTGAACGGCCATGTTGTTATTTGTCTTGATGAAATATAACAGTCATATAAATAATCATGGGGAAAATGAACTTAAAGTTTATACAAATCAACAGGGTTTTGTATCAGATATACAAACTGAAACTCCTTCACAGTAATAATTTCCCTTGTGTTTTGCTCACGCATTATCAATTAGAATTACTGCATTATCAATTAGAATTACTGCATTATCAATTAGAATTACTGCATTATCAATTAGAATTACTGCATTATCAATTAGAATCTGGTTAACTAAACGAGATCCCATGTTTTTTCCAGCTTTTCAACACATGTATCGAGAAAAGTGAGAAAGCAGACAACCTAGATCAACGTTTGGAAATCCTGCTCAATAATTGCACCAATACAGTGTTTGAGAATGTTTCCAGGTAATTGGTGGGCTCAGTAAGAAAAAAATTGAAGTACATCTATATTTATATTCTTCTAAATACAAGACTACTACATATAATAAAAATAATTCACATTATTTAGATTGACCACCATTTGCTGCTCGATAGTGTTTAGTGAGAGCCAATAAAACAGAGTACAGTGTTTGAATGCATTCTTTTATATTACAGAGGTTTATTTGAGCGACACAAGATCGTCTTCTCCTTCATGCTGTGTGCTGAAATATTACGAGAGCGAGAGGAAATCTCGACCGAGGAATGGAATTACTTTTTACGTGGTTCAGCGTCATTGGAAAGGGTAAGTAGTAGTTACTCCTTGGTTTTTATCGCGATATGTTTTGTTGGAAACACCACGTTAGCTTTTGTTGTTGGCCGTGCAGGTTTTCCGCTACAAGGACAACAATGTTTCCTTCTTTCTCATTCAGGAGCGGCCGGCGAAGCCTGATATTCCTTGGTTGACAGACAATATATGGAATACGTGTTGCGATCTGGAAGTAAGTTTGTTGACTCTCGTGCTGAATAACTGCATGGCTTGTCTATTTGACCAGTCCTTAGAGGTCCAGCAGCAGCAGAAGAAGAAGTTTATTTTTTACAAATATAAATATATATATGTATTTTTTTTATTTCTTCTTTCCAGTAAGGGGATAGCTTTATCAGTTCTAAACTGTTCTCCCTGTGGAGGTCCAGTGATGGTCATCTCTTATTGATCCAATGTTACTACAGGGGGAAACCTGAACTAAACTAACTTATTTACACTGGATAGTTCTATCAGTTCTAAACTGTTCTCCCTGGAGGTCCAATAAGGTTACTAATTCAATTTGGCGTTCCTTTCAGGATGATTTGTCATTTAAAAATTTGAAGACAGTCATTACCAAGAGACCTCTTGTTGGAAAGATTGGCTCACTTGAGGTAAAACGCAAATACCCCTTCCTGTATCTTTCAAGTTAGTGGAAGTCGCCCTCTTGTGTTTCACTTGAATGATTTGTACTTTTCCACAGGTGAACATCAACCCACCAGAATGGGAAGGCTACACAGAAAGTACGGGTAACGAAGATGATTTGGAATTAACAGATTTTGAAAATCTTATCTTGATCAAGAGTTTCCGCGAAGAAAAGGTTTGTGAATCAAGATATGCTAAAATCTTGATCAGTGGATTGTCTTGTTCTACGAACTAGCTGCACTGTCTGTTTTCTTAAGCCCCGTTTACACTTGCAATGGACCTTTCCCCTTATAACTAAAATTTCGATCTAGACAAAAATTTCATCACAGCTTGAAAGAGCATCACAAAATTAGTAATATTCCAAAGTTTTGTTGCAAAATCTTGTAAAATGCGGATAATATAGCCTTGCGAAGTTTGCCGTTTTTCAGTCATTTTAGATTACAAACGGGAAATTGACATCCGATTTGGGCGTTGGGGCTGCAATTTCCCGTTTGTAATGCAAAATGACTGAAAAACGGCAAACTTCGCAAGGCTCTATTTTCCGCATTTTACAACATTTCGCAACGAAACTTTGGAATATTACTAATTTTGTGATGCTCTTTCAAGCTGTGATGAAATTTTTGTCTAGACTTGCCTAGATCAAAATTTTGGTTATAAGGGGAAAGGTCCATTTCTCCTGCGATTTTATGTGTGATCTTCTGATGGATGTGAACGAGTAGATGAGTTATGAATGTTCTGAGTACATGTACCTTCATCTCAACATTTATAACCCATCCGCTCGTTCACATCCATCAGAAGAAGAAAGTCGCACCTTAAATCGCAGCAACAATGGACCATTTGCATTATAGACTAAATTTTGATCTAGACAACAATTTCATCACAGCTTGAAAGAGCATCACAAAATTAGTAATATTCCAAAGTTTCGTTGCGAAATGTTGTAAAATGCGGATAATATAGCCTTGCGAAGTTTGCAGTTTTTCAGTCATTTTAGATTACAAACGGGAAATTGATGCCCCAACACCCGATTGGGCTGTCAATTTCCCGTGCGTAATACAAAATGACTGAAAAACGGCAAACTTCGCAAGGCTGTATTATCCGCATTTTACAACATTTCGCAACGAAACTTTGGAATATTACTAATTTTGTGATGCTCTTTCAAGCTGTGATGAAATTTTTGTCTAGATCAAAATTTAGTCTATAATGCAAATGGTCCATTGCAAGAGTAAACGGGCCTTTATACTAATTCAACTTCAAAAAAAAGTCTCGTGCGCCGTATTGGTGGGTTTCAGTATCATTACATGGAAGTCAAGATCTGAATCGGTCTAATCTCACTGCACTTCTCTTTTAAAGGTGGTCTTTGCAGTTGGTCAATTTGTTTCAACGAATCTTGGTCGAATATTTATCGAGAGTCCAAACACTGACCTCTCATTGCTGTACAAGAATATGGCGCCAACCATTCCTCTGGTGTTTATCTTGTCCACTGGCTCTGACCCTATGAACGCTTTCTTAAGATTTGCTAAGGAAATGAGCTACACAGAGAGGTAGTGTCTTTTTCTCAAGATAATTTATATTTGCAGCCATGCTTTTTCGTAGTAGGGCGATGGTACCTGTAGTGCATGATTATACAACATACCAGCCATTGTTATTTCGGTATTTTCACGTTGAATTTTTTCTTAACTTCTCAAGAGTGCAAGCGATTTCACTCGGCCAAGGCCAGGGTCCTGTTGCAGAGAAAATGATCAAAGGAGCATTGAAGTCAGGGGACTGGGTCTTCTTACAGGTAATGTTTCTTGAATAAACAGAACTAGACATCTAACCTTATATATATATTGGATAGCTCTACCATGCAGTTCTAAACTCAACTTCCTAAATATTTCTGTCTCCAGAACTGTCATTTGGCGGCATCGTGGATGTTGAGAATGGAATCAATTGTGAAAGCGATATCATCAGGAGAAGTAGAAGTTCATGAAGACTTTCGTCTTTTCCTCAGCTCAATGCCGACCAAGGTATTTCCAGTCACTGTACTGCAGAACAGCGTCAAAGTCACGAATGAACCTCCCAAGGGACTCCGCGCAAACATCAAGAGAGCTTTTGGTGAACTGAGTACGGAGCCATTTGAAAACCACGGTAATATGTTTACTCATTGTACAACCAATATCGTGTGGGGTAGAATTAGAGTGGGGGTAGAATTAGGGTGGGAGCGGTAGAATTAAGGTAGGGGTAGAATTGGAGTGGGGGTAGAATTGGAGTGGGGGTAGAATTAGGATTAGGATGGGGCTAGAGTTAAAATGATGGTAATTTGCGAATATTTTGATATTTTTCTTTTCAAAGAACTTGGTGTTTCGTGGAGAAAACTGGTATTTGGCGTGTGTTTCTTCCACGCTATTATTCAAGAAAGAAAGAAGTTTGGTCCTTTGGGCTGGAATATCAAGGTAAATATTCTTCTGTGAAAATATATTGAGTGTATGGTTCCATTGTAAACAGGAATGAATAGTAATGAAGCGAGGTTTGAGTGCATGGTTCCATTGTAAGCAGGGATGAATAGTAATCAAGGAGGTTTCTTCTGCCGTTTTGGTAAAGTTTTACACGAGTCACAATATGAGGTTTTGTCTTCAAGAATCAGTTTTATTCTTTAGTACGAGTTCAATGATTCAGATCGGGAATGTGGTTTGGATACGTTGAAGATGTTTATTAAAGAAGCCAAGATTCCCTGGGATGCACTGGTCTTCATTACTGGAGAGGTACAGTGATTGAGTAATTAATTGATTTGACTGCTTCATTTATTGATTGGTTGAATGATTGATTGAACGATTTATTGAATAATATAATTTATGATTGATTAAACAACTATTTGATGGGTGATTTAATTGATGAGTGATCGATGATATTAATATTTGATGATTAATTTATTCCAGATCACTTACGGTGGACGTGTGACGGACGAGTGGGATCAAAGATGTCTTCGAACTGTATTAAGGCGATTTTTTGCTCCTGAAATCCTTAAAGAAGGCTACAAATTTTCTCCTTCAGGTACTGGATTATCCTCTAGCAGCTCACACACACACACACACACACACACACACACACACACACACTGTAATCCTAACATCCAGTTCCAATATGATCAGCGTGACATTTCTGCTGTTTTATTTATGCCGCAGGTATTTACTACCCTCCAGAGTTTGAGGGTTTATCAGATTATCGACAGTTCATTGATAATCTTCCGATGAATGATGAACCTGAAATATTTGGTATGAATGAAAATGCAAATATCGCTTTCCAGGTATGCTTTATTCTAGTTTACGCTATGTTTAAACTACGAGTTGTTTAGCAGGGCTTCCGTAGGATTCATGTGTAGATAGTATTCTACAAGAATCTGCTGTGATTTGTGTTTGAACTCGCTGAAAAAGATATCTCAAACGTGAGGCCCAGTGTAGGTAGCAGCCTTAGTACTGTACAATAAGCAATGATTCTGTTCTTGAGTGTCTCGATTATTTTTGTAGAGTCAAGAAACTCAGTCTCTGATCTATACTGTACTGGATGTTCAGCCACGTATGGTGAGCAGTGGTGGCGGGAAGACTAGTGACGAGATTGTCTATGAACTTGCTGAGAATATTTTAGGAAAAATCCCTGATAATCTTGATATGGACCAAGCCAATAAGGCTCTGTTTGAGGTAAAACTTTATGCAGAAAACCTACAGTGTTTGCTGAAGTCAAACTGTGGAAGCACGCTTTTCAGTTCAATATCCATTGTTTTTTTTAGCTTGATTCAAATGGCCGTGTCAACTCCTTGACAACCGTGCTTATTCAGGAAGTTGATCGCTTTAATAAACTTTTGAAAATCATCAAGGTAATGGCTTCGTTATCAGCGTGAGAGTTTTTTATGAGAGTTTGAAAGATGAACTCAACTGTTTTTCTGATCAATACTACATAATGGCGATTGTTTATGTATTCCAGGAGTCGTTACAGCAACTTCAGAAAGCGATCAAAGGATTTGTAGTTATGTCCTTAGAACTTGATAAAGTCTACACATGTTTCCTAAACAACCAGGTAATTCAAGGCATCTGTCTTATATTTTCATTGAAATGAGACATAATTAAATACTATAGTAATTACGTTCATTCTCAAGATTTTCGGAAATGGGAAATATTAAATTTCATGGGTAAAGACCTAAAATGATCATGTTTTTGTGACTGGCTTTCAGAAACAAATCAGAAACAAAAATGATCATTGTTCGTGACTCGTTCTTTAGAAAGACGATTTCTATAGTTTTATTGTCTTTCATTGTTATAATCAACCAACCACGAGCTTGGATAGTATAGGTAGATGATGACCTAATTTCATTCATTCTCCAACCCACTCCAGGTTCCTGAAATGTGGTCGAACGCTGCGTATCCATCACTTAAGCCTCTCGGTTCTTGGGTCAAAGATCTTGTTATGCGAACGACTTTCATCTTTGTGAGTATGAACATGTTTTTATTATAATCGTGCTTTTCAAATAGTGTCATATTCTCATGACAATCTTTAATTTTCTATTCAGCAATGGATGGTTCATGGGTTACCACGATCTTTGTGGATATCTGGATTCTTCTTCCCACAAGGTACAGTTTAGGCTTTCCTATGTTCGGCATAAGCATTCAACTTAGATGTTTATGCCGTTGAATATGTTCGGCATAAGCGTTCAACTTAGATGTTTATGCCGTTGAATATGTTCGGCATTAGCATTCAATTTAGATGTTTATGCCGTTGAATATGTTTGGTATAAGCATTCAATGGTTATGCCGAAGACATTCAACGGCATAACCATCTAAGTTGAATGGTTATGCCGAAGACAGTCAACGGCATAACCATCCAAGTTGAATGCTTATGCCGAAGACATTCAACGGCATAACCATCCAAGTTGAATGGTTATGCCGAAGACAGTCAACGGCATAACCATCTAATGGTTATGCCGAAGACATTCAACTGCATAACCATCCAAGTTGAATGGTTGTGCCGAGTCAACGGCATAACCATCCAAGTTGAATGCTTATGCCGAAGACAGTCAACGGCATAACCATCCCGGCAATGGTTATGCCGAAGACATCCAGTGGCGTAACCATCCAAGTTGAATGGTTAAGCCGATGACATTCAACGAGCCCCGCGAAACGTTAATCCAGCCCTGAGTTGAAGTACTAAAATAGTGTTTTCTTCCTGCAGGTTTCCTCACTGGTGCTTTACAGAACCACGCGCGTAAATACAACCAGCCTATCGATCAACTCTCCTTCCGTTTCACGATCCAGTCAAAATACTGCAATCAGGAGGAGTTCAGTGACATGATTGAGTCACGTGATGATGCCGCCATTGAGGCGAACCTCCCTCCTCATACTGAGGACGGAGTGTATGTTCATGGTTTATTTTTAGATGCAGCGAGATGGGATGATGACGCGATGGTGCTGGTGGACGCACTGCCGGCGGAAATGAATCCGGTACGTAAATGCCCATTTATATTACACAACTTTTGCCTAAAACTGTCGCCTGCAACCTGCTTACAACTTGAGTTGTACACTTGTACTGTGTAAATCAACACAACTCGCCGACGTTGCCGTTGGTGAGTTGTCGTTTCTTGAAATTCTGTCAAATTTTAACTTCTATTTTTCTACGGTTTTATCAGCCATTACCAATATTACACCTGGAACCACAGATGAATTTTGTTCCTGACAGTACGAAATATGTGTCTCCACTTTACAAGACCTCGGCTAGGGCTGGTGTTCTATCTACGACAGGTATGCTATCTGCATATTAGCGTGAGCACAGACGGCTATCTTCGTATAGCTGGGTTTCATTAGGCATTACTATCGTATACCAGATGTTGGTCAATCTGCTGTTATAAGAGTGAGAAAATAATGTGAATTCTTTTCATCTACTGAAACCTACCATTGGGCGCTTCATATAATGCTTAGCATAATGAATGGAATGTTCCATCGTCTTTTCATTCTTTTGAAGATCTCGCTGTTCTCCATGCCATCCAGTCACGACCAGTGATCGAAATGTTCCATTGTCTTTTCATTGTTTTGAAGATCCCACTGTTCTTCATGCCATCCAGTGATCAGAATGTTTCATTGTCTTTTCATTCTTTTGAAGATCTCGCTGTTCTCCATGTCATCCAGTGATCGAAATGTTCCATTGTCTTTTCATTGTTTTGAAGATCCCACTGTGCTCCATGCCATCCAGTGATCAGAATGTTTCATTGTCTTTTCATTCTTTTGAAGATCTGACTGTTCTCCATGTCATCCAGTGATCGAAATGTTCCATTGTCTTTTCATTGTTTTGAAGATCCCACTGTGCTCCATGCCATCCAGTGATCAGAATGTTTCATTGTCTTTTCATTCTTTTGAAGATCTGACTGTTCTCCATGTCATCCAGTGATCGAAATGTTCCATTGTCTTTTCATTGTTTTGAAGATCCCACTGTGCTCCATGCCATCCAGTGATCAGAATGTTTCATTGTCTTTTCATTCTTTTGAAGATCTGACTGTTCTCCATGTCATCCAGTGATCGAAATGTTCCATTGTCTTTTCATTGTTTTGAAGATCCCACTGTGCTCCATGCCATCCAGTGATCAGAATGTTTCATTGTCTTTTCATTCTTTTGAAGATCTGACTGTTCTCCATGTCATCCAGTGATCGAAATGTTCCATTGTCTTTTCATTGTTTTGAAGATCCCACTGTGCTCCATGCCATCCAGTGATCAGAATGTTTCATTGTCTTTTCATTCTTTTGAAGATCTGACTGTTCTCCATGTCATCCAGTGATCGAAATGTTCCATTGTCTTTTCATTGTTTTGAAGATAGCAACGTTTAACCATATGAAAGATGTTTATGTCTGTTGTTTTTGTCCACAGGTCATTCAACAAATTTTGTCATTGCCGTTCATCTGCCCTCGGATATGCCGTCAGATTTCTGGATAGCAAAAGGAACAGCCTTGTTATGTCAGTTGAACGATTGAGTCAGGTTTAAATATATTGTATAAATATGTAAATCAATTGTTGTATAGTTGACTTGACTTTAGTGTGAGTCGAGAGTGTAATATATCTCATACAGTACGTAAGTTATATTTTTTAACATAGAAAACATTGATAATATATGTGAAGATTTCGATGTACAGTAACTTTCACTTTATTACCGTAATTGAAAAAAATTGCATCTAATATTAGCCCTCTGACAAGAACCGAATATACCAAGAGAATTACTGCATTGGTTAATAATTGGTTGAAAATCCCAGATATTTTTGATGACCTGTTGTCGTGCTTCTGTATAACAAGTTTTGAAATGGCCACCAAATACTGAAAAGAAGCGAGGCTGATGAGTTTGTAATGTAGGAAAACAGTTAACACAATTCTAAAGCTTGTGTCTTTTTTCAGGTACGTATTTCTTGTTTTCATTTTATGGGTAGAAAGCATTAAACAAATTAATAAGTATAGGTGGCGTTTTAAAAGCATGGAGCTCATTACAACTGTATATATATCATGTTTGATCTTTTCTTAGGCTGTTGCAGAACTGTTCACACCAACATGACTCTTACCCTCGTAAGGTATTCTATACTGAAGTTAATTTCACACAACAACTGAAATTGTGTACAAAATGTATTTATAAATAATTGGATGTAAAAATGTTCATATTATTAACATTATTTTGGTGTTTTTACATTAGATATTCGACTAAACAACGAAGGCAAAATGCCATTCGAATTATGTCTCCTTTGAATTATATGTCGCCTTTGTTTTACTAACAATGGTTTGTTTGCAGGTCTGACTGGACACAAGAATGATTGAGCCTGCAAAACAATGCTGATATGCAGGTATGATCAATATGATAAATTTAAAGCTAGTATAATCTTTAGTTGTGTCATAAATCTCAAAGATTCCTATTGTACAATCGCGTCTTTTAAAGAGGTTTACACTGTCACACATTGTGCTGGTATTTACATTATTATAAATTGAAACAAATCCATGATGCATAATGTATGATTGACGTGATGAATTTCTAAACAGTACGCTGTAGAGATCGATGACAGTTAGTGAATGAACGTTTGGTGCTGTCCCATTTGTCAGGATGTTTTCGACAGTAGACTGTAGTACCAACAATGATCACCACCACAATAAGACACGCGATAACCACTCCGACAATCAAACCAACATTCGTGGTAGATCGTGCCATCACAATACCACCTTAACGGGAAAATTAAAGTTTCAGATATTAGTATTGCTGGCGAAATGGTCAGTGCATTTGTCTTTCAACTATGGGAAGAATAACAGTTAAGTTAAGCAAAAACATCCATACCTGAATCAACTTGCACCTTGGCGACGCCATCATCAATGTCTGCATCAACCTTACGCCATTGTGGGTTATTCTTGTCAGTTTTATACACTGTCACAGTTCCTGACATGCTTGAGTCCACTTTCAATGTAACAGAGAACTTCTTATCACCCTCAGTTAACTTCTCTTGTGGGTTAATCACCAGGAAGTTACTGGCATAACTATCACCAACATCCACAGAAGCACCCATAGCTTCAACTCGAGCTTCGCCATCGCTTCTTGACCATTCCTCAAGGGAGATTGGTTTGAGAGAACTGAACGCACCACGTTGCACCCAAACACCTTGGACATTGCTGGAATAGGATAATTCTCATTGTCATTTGTGAACAGTTCGTTTTCAGGAGCAGGTGTTGAAATTGTGAACCTTTATGGTGAATTTTCGCTAGCCTTAATTCAAATGGTTCGTGTATATTGCGGTAGTTCCTCATTAGCCTAAACCGCAAGCAGTTGCTAGCAAACTACGAGTTGCTGTCTTGAATAATTGAAGTACTTCGTCTTGGTCGTGAGTTTTCACTAGACTAAACCTTGAGCCGTTGCTGCTAAACTACTGTCTTAGATATGGGTCTCACTAGCCTAAACTTGAAAGGTTTGAAATACACATCCTTTGTGGTAGATTCTCACTAGCCTAAACTTGAAAGGTTTGAAATACTTTGTAGGAAATTCGTAATGAACTTCAAACTTGCTCTCCGTGATGGCAATGATCTTGTTTCTCGTGCCAGGTTTATCTCGCAAGCATAGTAACCAAAAACGTACCTTGTACCAACAGTAAGATTGCCTCCATTCCATCCAATCTTTTTGGAGGCTACAGCTGTATCACCCACAACAATCTTTCCTTTCTGACCACGGTTTGAGAAATTGTTATTTCTTGAACACATATAATGATAAATGCCATTCGCGGTCACTTTTCTCGGTCCTAGATCATAGTACGTGCCTGCATCGTCCAATTCTGACATCTCACCACCAAATTGAACTAGAAAATTTTAAAAATAGGTTAAGCTCTACTCCTTGGAATTTCATCCACACTGGATAGCTTTGTTCTCCCTAGAGGATCAGTAACGGTCGTATCTTATCAGTTCAGTTTTACAACATGGAGGAATTGAGGAAAAAACTGAAATAACTTTATTTATACAGGATAATTCAATCAGTTCTAAACTGTTCTCTCTACCAAGCAACCATGTCATCCTACAACGCGTCTACCACCAAGTCAAAATACACTTAATTCCCGAAATTACAATAGTCCTTCGTTTTAGTTATCAAGTAAAGAAATCATTACCATTATCTAAAATGCCCAAATGTTGTAAATCGTCTCTACCAAGACCCAGAAACTCGGCGTTATCTAAATGTTCTGGGTAATTGTTTCCCCAATGACCGTATGTTCCAGACTCTGGTGTCGCTTCTTTGTACTGTGGACCGCGGAGTAAGACAACATTGTTTCTATCAGTACCAGCTTTGCCTTGGCCATCATTGTTGTTGGGGTTTGTGTTGGATCCAGTCCATCTAGAAAGGGTAAATTTTGATTCATGTTGGACATCTCTATACTAATTGTTTCTGAAACATGGTTTAGTGAATATATTTTCAACCCTATGATCTGATATTGTACAGATAGACTATCCCAGTTGACTGAGTTTAGCATGGTTAGATTTTGCAAAGAGTTGTACGTGTTCTTTAATGTAGGCTGTTCTTAACATGATTTGTTGTACAGAACTTACTGCTGCGTTAAGCATGGTCAGACGATCATACAGAGATATTACAGTGTACGTTTTTGCGTTAAAGTGATCTGGGGCCGGTTGTATCAAGCCCGTTTAGCTTAAACAGTGGTTAAGCTCAAAATAGAAAGCAAGTCTATAGATTCATTCAACAACCAAACTAAACGTTTTGAACTTTAATAGAACGATAATGTTTGCAACTACATATTCAGTGCAGAATATTTAAGTTGACTGATTCACGAGAGAGAAAAGAGTGTTATTTTATTTTGACTTACCCACCGTTTAAGCTAAACGGGCTTGATACAACCGGCCCCTGATGTTGTACAGAACTAACTGCTGAGTTAAGCATGGTTAGATCATATTGTTCTTGAATATGGGCACCTTAAAGTGATCTCACTGATGTTGTACAGAACTTAATGCATGTATGTGACAAGGACTTTGACAAACAAGTTTGAATGCGCAAGAGGGCACCACTTTAATAAAAAACAACATTAAAATATGCTCAAGTTTTACTAACTGAAAATGAACGTAATCTCCATTCTTTATTCCGAGTCTGTTAGGCACGAAGTCGTATTCTACAGCGGGATAGACTTGTACGATGTTACCACGCTTGCCGCGAACATTGAGATTATGGACAATCCTGCCTGCAAGGTTAGCTGGTCGTGGTCGGATGGCGAATGTGTGTGATCTACAGAAGAGAGTTGAAATTCAAAATATTTAGTGAATACCATTCATTGGCAATTTGTCACCATCATTAGCCAGTAGTCTGCATACACTATCAAACTCACCTGTCTTGAAATACGCGACCAAATTGGTTGGTATTAATCGCCAACCTCAGTTTAAATTCCCCACCATCATCTCCGAATATTTTCACTTGAGGATTTTGTTTATACACATATCCCCTCTGCTTCGCTTCAGCTTCATCCATACCATATTTCGAGGCAACATCTAATTTAGTCACTGGTCGAGAGTTGAGTGAAGCATTCACACTTGAGTCCCAACCATCAAACTCTCCTGTTGAAATGTTGTACCTAGGGAGTATCATTGTTTAGTAGGTGGTGATGGTGGTGGTGATGATGATGGTGGTGGTGGTGATGATGATGGTGGTGGTGGTGATGATGATGGTGGTGGTGGTGATGATGATGGTGGTGGTGGTGGTGGTGATGATGATGGTGGTGGTGGTGATGATGATGGTGGTGGTGGTGGTGATGA